AGCAGGGGCCCCCTTGGAAGGAGTTGTTATAGGTGGGGGAGCAGGGGCCCCCTTGGAAGGAGTTGTTATAGGTGGGGGAGCAGGGGCCCCTTTGGGAGGAGTTGTTATAGGTGGGGGTGCAGGGGCTCCTTTGGAAGGAGGAGTGGTCACAGGTGAGGGAGTCGTGGCCCCTTTGGGGGATAGTGCTGCTGGGGCCTCTTTTGAAGAGGGAGGAGTCAGAGGTGTGGGAGTAGGGGCCTCTCTGGAAGGAGTTGTTAAGGGAAGAAGAGTGGGGTCCTCCTTCGGGGATGGTGTTGCTGGGGCCTCTTTGGAAGAGGGAGCCACAGGTTGGGGAGTGGGGAGCCTTTTGGGGGCTGGCGCTGTTGGGGTCCCTTTGGAAGGAGTCATTATAGGTGAGGGAGTGGGGGCTCCTTTGGAAGTTGTTGTTACAAGTGGGGGAGTAAGGCCTCCTTTTTGGGATGGTGCTGCTGGGGCCCCTTTGGAAGAAGGAGTCATAGGTGGGGGAGTAGGGCTCTTCTTGGGAGATGGGGTTCCTGGGGCCCCTTTGGGTGATGAGATAGCAGGGCCCTCCTTGGGGGAAGGAGTAACAGATGGGGAAGGGGTAGACTCTTTCAGGGATGGAGGAGTGGGAGAATGCTTCTTGGCTGGTAAGCCTTTAGAGCCTTGAAAAGACTGACTGGCTTCTGGAAGAAGGGAAGCTTCAAGTGGAGAAACAGGGGATGAAAGATTTCCAACCGGAGAACTAGGGATAGCAGGTTCACTTTTAGAAACAGAAGAAGCAAGAGTCAAGGTAACAGGGGAAGTAGCTGAACCCTTCTTGGTTGGAGGTCTTTTAGCCTGAGGAGATACACCACTGATCCTTGAAGGAGATGGGGAGTCAACTACATCAGTTAGAGTTCCTTCTCTGGAAGATGAAGTAACAGAAGCACCAAAGTCCTTCTCATTTGGGGGCCCTTCAGGAAAGGAAGCTGCAGGTGCCAATACTGAGGTATGACAAATATCATCAACTTTCTTTGCATCTGAAGGACTCATCCCTTCTGGGGGAACAGAGAGAAAGGGCACAGACTTGGGAATTTCAGAGACCAAGGTAGCTGGAAAAGCTGAAACATCCTGGGAGGATGAAGTGACAGCTGGAGCTACAGGGCAACTTTCAGAGGCTGAAGAAACCAAAGGTGAAGTAGCAAGAGTGGAAGTACCTTTCTCAGCTGGGTGACTTTTAGGAACTAAAGAGACACCTCCTTCTAGAAAAGGGCTGGCTGTAGTAGTTGTAGGAGCAGAGGTACCTTGGGCAGTTACAAGAGCCATTCCAGCAGGGGTAGCTGGATTCTTTTTATTTGACATGCCTGTGGGATCTGCTGTGGGAGCTACTATTGGGATAGTGGGAGAACTTCTGAGGAGCAGACTAGCAGGATCTGGGCTTGCACAGGAATTTGTCTTGATTACAGAGGTTGGGAAATTAAGAACACCAAGAGGAGATGCAGTAGCACTGGCTGGCTTAACCATAGGAAAAGGCTCTTCAAGGCTCTTCTTTGCTAAGGTAGCTTCAGAAGAAAGAGACATCTCTGGAGAAGAAGATGTACTTTGGGGTGAAGGTGAATCTTTAGGGACTGCCAAAGCCAATGGAGTAGGGTCTTTCATGGTGGGAAGTTCTTCTTGGGCTGGAGAAACAAGAACTCCTACAGGAGAGGCAGGTACAGTTTGAGTATCTGTTTGGGTTGGGAGCTTTACCAACACCGAAGTGGGGAGAGTTTTGGGGTCCTCAAGGGCTGGCAAAGAAGGAGAGACCGGTATCCCCAGAGTGGTTATTTCTTGAGGAATATGAAGCTCTTTGGGAGTTACAGGTACTGTAACCAATGCAGTATGGGAGGTTGGGTCAGAGGAGGCTAATCCAGACTTAACAGAGACAAAGTGGGATGGAATAGCACTGACTTTATCTGGAGAGCTGGTGGTACTTTTTGGATTAGGGACTACCTGGGAAGGAACTTGAATAGAAGAGGTCTTTGGGTCTGAGGGAGCAATGGGAGTTGACAGAGATGTCACTGACACTGACTTGGCTACAACAATTGGAGGGGAGGTCAGAGGGTTAGGTGGGAAAGCAGAACTCTTCTGAACCGCAGGGGGAGCCAAGGCTACCAGAGCCAAGGGAGCTGAAGAGGAAGGGGCACCTTTCATAGTTGGAGCTATCATGGGAGAGGCCAGAGCTAAGGCAGCTGGGGAGATGGGAGGCCCAATTAAGTCTGGTAGGAAAGTTGGGGTGCCAGAGGGGCAAAGGGCAGCTCCCAAAGGCAGGGATATCCCAGAGGATGACTGAGGAAAAGGAACTTCAAAATGGGTTGAGGCAGTATTAGAGGGAGAAGGGTATGGGGAAGGCTGGTTAGCAGTTGCTAGAAGGCACTGTTGGGGTGCCAGTGAGTAAGGAAGGGGATGGGTAGGTCCAGGCTTCCCCAAAGTAGCAGTGACACCCGAGGATGAAGACATAGGGAGCACAGCTGGAGGAGAAAAGCAAAAAGGGAATAAAGAAAGGAAAAAACAAAGATGAGTTATACAGCTCCAACTTGGTACAACAAGCCTCACAAGAAAACATTGGAATTTTTAATCTGAGAATGAAAGTCACTACACAGGATTAGACAACGGTCACAAGGCAACAACCTTCCCCAAACATACTTCGGGGTCAAGTGATAATACATCCCTCTCCTCATCTCCTTCACTTTCCAAATTCTACCCAAATAAACAAACTATTTCAGGGTGGGCAGAATGGTCTAAGAGTAGCCCACCAGCCTCTAAATGGGGAATGCAGTCCCAGGAGTAGGGTGAGAACAGCATGCGTTTCTATCCTTTCTCAGCTGTGCTCTCTCCTTCTCCCCTCAAATGAACCTCATTCATAAGTCCTTCTAAGCAATAAAATGCTGCCCACCTAATTATCATGAACTAACTGAAACAGACATTGTAATCTGGAACAAGAGGGGTAGTGAGTGGTGACAATGACGGGGAATCACAGCTAAATATGAAAAAACAGGTCTTTATGCTCCAAGGCTTCCACTAGGTCAGGAAAAATCTGATTTTGTTAGAATACTTTTAGGAAGGGGGTGCCCAGCACAATTCAGTATTTCCTTAAATTGAAACTCTTCAGAATTTAATACTAAGAATTAAGTATTTTAACCCTCCCTATGTCCCCGTTTACTCAACCCAAAACAAAACAAAACAAAACAAACAACAAATGGGCTAAGGGGCAATTACTACTCACAGGACAGAGTATAACTGCTCCACAGGGGTTTCAAGGCTGTAATCTTAGGGAAGTAGACTGCCACATCTTTTCCTGCAGAGCAGCTGGTGGGTTTGAACTGGCACCAGGATTCTTTACACAAATGAGTTAAACTCCATAATCTCTACAGACTTTTCTATATGTTAGCTTTTCAGATGTCAATCTAAAATGATTTAGACCTCTAGGGAGAAAGCTTAGTCATAAAGGTAGGGACTGCATTATAAAATTGTAACCCAACTTGTCAAACCAGACTATGGTTCTATTTTGGAAGTAGAAGTTAGTGAGAGCCTCACTCCTTAAATATTTCATTATGCCAAAATAGATCAATATTCGGCACTAGAATAAAGCTAAGTAAAAGGTTCTTTGAAAGATGGAGCTATAACAGGATTAGACCAACCCCTAAAATAATGTGTTAAATCACAAAACAAAACAAAAAGAAAAAAAACCAAACCCTAGAGGACCCAAATTCACAATTTACTCAACCAGCAATTCTGATGTTCTTATAGTATCCTACTAGAGAAAAGAGTTAGTTGGCTCAAACAGTTTTTCTTTTGAATAAGTTTGCAGGGTCAATATTTTACGATTACAATAAAAAGCTCGGAAACAGGTTAATCAGAATTTAAGACATGGAATATCTCTTCCTTTGACTGGACTGAGTTAGGATTAGACCCAAATTGCTTGTTTTGACATCATAGCTTATTCTCTGAGTTAGTTTTCTCATTCATTCGGAAAGATTAATTTTATCTGTAGAAAAAACCTGAGTGTATTCCTAAACCAAAAACCAAACTCACTGCCATCGAATCGAATGCAACTCATGGCAACCCCTCCTTGGGTTTCCGAAGCGATATCGCTACAGAAGCAGATTGCCCTAACCTCCTTCCAAGGATTGGCTGGTGGGTTTGAACCTCCAGACTTCTGGTTAGCAGTCAAATGCCTTAGGCACTTCACGATTACTCAGACTGTTTAGTAATACTTTTAACAACATCGCCAAAGACTACTTCAGAAGTAAATTGCATTAGTTTTGAAGCTTCACACCATATTATTCTAAACTCATCTAAATTTCAGTCTCTATCTTTGTAAATATAAGTTGTTCAATAATACAGGTCCTCTAAGGTTTCATCAGCACTGAAATTACAGGATATTTAGAAATTAGTCCTTTATTCTATTCCTTTAAGTCCCTTGTCATTCAAAGACTTCATATAATTCAGTCCCCAGTTTAGGGCCTCCTTTTTAGCAGCTGCATTAATCCCTTCAGTTGCTAAAATCAGACAGGTGGGGGAGCGAGGGCCTCAATGCTTTCAACTAACATTACAAACAACTCTGTATTTTAATTCCAAAAGGGGGAAGCAATTGTCCTTAAGTGAGAAGTGGAGTTAAAAACAAAGTGAGGATAGAGGTTACAGCTTGAAGATTCCTTTTAGTTCTGCACAATATATCATCGATATTATCTACATCTCCCTCCCCCAAGTTTCCTACAGAGATATTTTCACTAGAATTCAACACGTCTTCACTATACATCCATAAATTTCAAAGTTGAAAAGCAGCCAAAGGCAGGCTTTATTTTAGTTTTCAATTCTGGGTTACAGACAAGCTGTTGATGCAGGGACTATTCCAGAACACAGGAAACATGTCAATACCAATCCACAGAACAAGTTAACCAACCTAGGAGGACCCAGAGGCCCAGGCAGGACACATTTACCCCTAGTACTCATTTCATCCAGACACGTGACAAAGGCACAACTGCCAAGCTCTGCTATCTAAAACCTTGATGCAACTTGCTGGCTGGGACCTCACAAAAGCTCAAGTCTCCTTGGCATGTTTGTCATCCAGCTCCAATTGGCAAGAATCACGGAGACAAAATAAAAAAATAAAAAAAAATAAAAAAGAATCACGGAGACCCTTTCCTGCTCAGTTTTCCTACATGAAGTGGGGGTTCGGTTCCACAGCACAGCTTCTTTTGAGGCAGCTGGCATAAACCACAAGCAGACTAACTCACTGCCATGAGTCAATTCCGACTCATATCAATCCATAAGGGCAGAGTAGGGGCCTGTAGGGTTTCCAAATCTGTACATTTTTATGGATGTAGACTGCCTCATCTTGCTCCGGAGTGGCTAGTGGGTTCGAAACAGCCACCTCTTGGTTGGCAGCCCAATGCTTTAACCACAGCGCCACCAGAACTCAAAGAACAGGCTCAGGTGCTTTTAATATCCTTAAACCTCAAAGATGTTGCTTTTACTCCATCTTTCTAATGAAGTTCCTTGAGGACAGGACAAGAGTTAATTTTATGGTCTCCCTTTCCTGGTAAAGCTACAGCCCCATCTTCTTGAAAGAGCGTTAACTTTCTGAAAAGCAGTCTACTCCCTTTTGGTCACTCTACCCACCTAACAGCCCAGGGTCCATCTTAATTAACGAGAAGAAGGCTAGGGAAACCTACCTGTCTCAGCCTGGGGCTGTGGCAACTCCTGCTCTGTGGCAGGCACGGTTTCTGTGGCTTCACCGGGCATTTCTAAAGGAAGGGAATAAAAAGGAGGCCTGAATTGACTGGGATCCATTCTCTCCCCTGAAGAGTCAAGTACTCTGAAAAACGCTGAAGAGGGCTGTTACGAAAACCATCACGAGAACTGAAGACTATGCTCCCCAAAATAGCAGGGAATGGGTGGGAAATGACGTGACCCTCAGATCTTTGATCAAACTCATCACCTTCTCACCGCGCCTCCCCACTCCGCAGAGAGCGGAATTCCCAGTGACTGTTTTATTCCACACTCCAAATCCCACAAGGCCAGCAATCACCACTGTGTTCTCAACCCGAAGGCGAGAACCCTGGTCTGGCTCCCACCATCCCTTCCATTCACGATGCCTGAGCTGCGACCTCCAGAACTCCCGTTTACCGACTTTCGGGGGCCAACACTCGTTCGTCACAGTAAGAACGGGGTGGGGGTTCCCAGGCCGTGCCCCCTTAACCTCTTCTGTATTCTTGTGAAGCCGTTTCTAGCAGAAGCAGCACTCCACTTCCGCCTCCAACATCGCAACGGCTCCCACCTCCCCAGCTCTGGACTCCAGCCCGGCCTGGCCCTTCTGTCTTATTTTTGCCAGAACACCAACCGCAGACCCCATTTTGTCCGGAGGCCTCAAGGCCACACTTCCCACGGCCGAGTAGGGATCTTGCGGTCCCATAAGGCTTTCAACTCTCCTTAATTAAGTACCCAGGGCGGCTTAGCCCGCAAGAAAAGCGGATGGCTGTGGATATAGGGTAGCGGCGCAGACAGCACTTACTGTATAGGGAACGCGGCACCAAGATGGCGGCAGAAAGAGAGCAAGCAAGAGCGTGACCCACGCCTGTTGCAGAAGGAAGCTTGGCGCGGAATGGGCGGGACCAGGATCCAATTCCGGGTCAGGTATTGCTGGCAGCCACTTCCTTTAACAAGTGACCAGTGCGGCTTGTTTCCAGAGCGGGTGTGAAGGCGAGGTCTAAATATGGAGAAGAGTTCACTGAAGATAGGACGCACTGACCACGCAGCCTGCCCCCTCCATTCCGCTGGTCGGGGCATTTCTGAGAGCTGCAGGTAAACGTAATGAGACACAGCCTCCGCCCTCCGGTTGGCAAAGTAGCCACAACACTTAAAACGACTTCTCGATTACTATTTCTCAAATAACTAGGGAGAATATGAGACATTAATATCGAGTGCTACAGGTTGTATTCACACCATTAGAAGGTAGCAGTGGCGTAGATTAACCCCTAATTGTTTTGTTTTTGAAACACACGACTTAGGCCAAAGTTGACATTATGATGCATTCTCTGGGAGGACCTCAACTGAGAAGTGAAAGCAGCCTATTCATAACTTCTCACCTTTATACACTTTGGTACACTGAGGTTTGTACAGGAATCTCCCTTTTACTAGTCATTCTCCAATTGATAAAACTATCGATTCCCCTCCCCAGAGAAAAGGACATAGACATATGCATTATTTTTGTCCACATTGGGAACTTCTTAGATCTCCTGGAATTTATACATTTTACAGGCTCTGGACCCCACTTTAAGAACCCATGCTTTATACAGTAAGATTCTTGAAAAAGTAGAATGTAAAACCAGTGTTTTTTATTAATAAAAAGGCTGTGGGCCCTGACACCCACACCCCCTCTTGTTATATACCCTCGGGTCCATAGCGACCCTTCCTTGGGTTTCTAAGGCAGTATCACTGTTGTTGTTATTTGCCGTGGAGTCGGCCCCGACTCATAGCGACCCCTCCTTGGGTTTCCGAGGCAGTATCACTACAGAAGTAGGATTGCCCAACCTTCCTTCCGAGGAGTGGCTGGTGGATTTGAACCGCCAGCCTTCTGGTTAGCAGTCAAGTGCCTTAGCCACTATGCTACCAGAGCTCCCACTAGGGAAGTAAATTGCCTCATCTTCCTTCGGAAGAGTGGCTGATGGGTTTGGACCGCCACCCTTCTGGTTAACTGTCAAGTGCCTTAGGCACTACGCTACCAGAGGTCCCACCCCTTCTCTTAGCCTTACAAAAAGACTCAACGAATATATGCCTGGATTATCTAAACCAGCTAAGACTATTTGATCTAATGACTTTAAAATGATAATAGCTGCTTTCCCCCAGCCTTGCATTGGCTATCTTTTCTATTTGCTTTGGGTGCAAATTTACAAAGCAGATTAGTTTTATATTCAACAGTTCATGCACATTTGATTTTTAAGAGGAATCAAAACAAAAAAACATACTGCCATCAAGTCAATTCCAACTTAAAGAGACCCCCATTGGTTTCTGAGGCTGTAAATCTTTACAGAAGTAGACTGCCTCACCTTCCTCCTGCAGTTGGTAGGTTTAAACAGCGGACCTTCTGGTTAGCAGTCAAATGCCATACCCATTACACCATTCTAAGAGAAGCAGTGCAAATTTGCAGTGCTTTGAAAGCTACTTTAAAATTACTTTTTTTTTTTTTTTTACCATAGTGCAGTGAGGATTAAAATGAATGAATTAGGATTAAGTGAGATAGTAGTTTACCAGGAATGGGAAATTCTGACATTCTCTTCTGATGTTGGATGCCATCATGTCAGTTTCTACTCATAGCAACATCATGTGAGTGTTGTTGTTGTTATGTGCCCTCCCGACTCATAGCGACCCCTCCTTGGGTTTCTGAGGCAGTATCACTACGGAAGTAGATTGCCCCATCTTCCTTCCGAGGAGTGGCTGGTGGGTTTGAACCTCCAGCCTTCTGGTTAGCAGTCAAGTGCCTTAGGCACTATGCTACCAGAGCTCCTATGTGACAGAGTAGAACTGCCCTATAGCATTTTCTCAACTCAAATATTTATGGAAGCAGATTGCCAGGTCTTTCTCTTGAGGACCCACTGAGTGGGTTTGAACTGCTAAGGTTCCAGTTAACAGCCAAGTGCTTAACAACTCGTGCCATCAAGACTCCTTTCTCTTCACATAGGAGAGACAATATTGTGCAGTGATTAAGAACATGGACTCTGATGCAACATTGCTGTCTGAACCAACTCTGTCACCTAATAGTGTCTTTAGACAATTTAGCCTATCTGTGCCTGTTTCCTTATCTAGAAAATGGGATAATATTAGCTATTTAATAGGATTTGTTAGGAACTTTAGGCACTATGAGTGTAACATTTGAAAAGTGCTTATTGCTAGTATTAAAATTGCAGATAGAATTAATCTCTATGTAGGTAAATAAGTGATCTGGAAGATTTCTAATACAGTCCACTTACTTTAATAGAAAGGGCCCAAAACAGCCCTTTCTTAGACAAACAACTGCATTTTCACCATTCCCCTTTCTTCCTCATCAAGTACACTGATTTTTTCTAACTCTCTCTGTCATAATATCTAACTAAGGAAGGATGTATTTACTTTTTCTCTGTGATTTGTTATAAATTGGGTAAGTTTGGAGATGGAAGCCTTTACCATGCCCTTTGTTTCTACAATTATAATGTACTGGTGAATTGCCACATTGGAAAAGGGAAATCAATAGTCTTGAGCATGGTTCTGCTCTCTTCAAGACCCAAACATTTATTATTTTTTATGAGCACAATATGTTCTGTAATTAATTTTATGGACTAGTACACCAGCTTTTATGCAAGGGCTTTAATAATAAAACATTAAAATACTTTCATGATAGAGACACAGTTACAAAACCACAATGGAAGCTTAAAGCATCTGTTGTTGAAAGAATAACACCCATCTTTCCAGTTTATTCTAAGTTCTTAATTACTAAATCTTTAGTAATTACCTGCATTGAGGTGCTCTAATTGACCCACTCTTTTTAGAACCTAAAGAGTGAACAATACAAGTAAATGGTATCTCAATACTTTGCACAATAGCCTTTTAATATTTTTTCTTAAAATTACCATGAGAAAGAAATACAGGGCATTTCAGTGGATTGACTGTTTAATACAGTCTGTTTTATGGAGTCTGTTTAACATAAGCCAAAAGATAACAGGAAAAAAAGATTGTGTGATTGTAGAGGAGACAATGCAAGTCACAGAAAGCACTGGCTTGATGGTTTGCTTTTCTTTCTTAGATGAATATAAATGAGACTGACTGCTTTGTTTAGATTGGTTGTAAAATCAGGCAAGAGAAATATGACACTTTAGACCTCATTACGTAAAATCAAACACAAGAAATGAAATTTTTAAAATTTGAGTATTCTGTTTAGATACATAAAAACATCTAAGTGCTTTGACAAATACAACTGGTTTTATGTTGAAGTTGATTGTTTTTTCTTTTAATTGTAACATACCCTTTTATTCAATGGATATCAGGTCACAAGGTGGTCTCTGCTGCTGCTTTTTTTTTTTTCCCAACCATTTTTCTTTTTAATTGTAATTTGGGTGAAAATCTACAGAGCAAATTCACTTTCCATACAGCAGTTCACATACACTTTGTCTCATGACATTGACTACAATTTACCCCAATGCAACAGCTCCTCTCCCACTTCCTCCCCATAGTTACCTCTTCCTTGTGTCCATCCCTCCATGTACTCCTGCCTCCTGAGCTGTCTCCCTGTGCATAAACAGCCCTTCTTTCTCGGATTGTTCTCTCCAAGGAGTGTATCTACCTCAGGTAAATGTTCAACTCATATGCGTCTTTTGTTTGGCTGGAAGCCACAGGTATGGGTTCAATTCCAGACCTGAAGGGCAGCTAGGGGCCATAGTCTCAGTGGTTCCACCAGGCTCTGTCAGACCAGCAAACCTGGTCCCCTGATTGTTTTTTCTAAGCTGCTTTACAGTAGAGTAGTCCAATTGCTTTCTGAGGCAAGAAGTTAGGAGCTTTAATTTTAACAGCTGTAAAGACAACCATACTAGGCCTAAATGTTGCTGCTCTAGTAATTTTATCTTTTGAATTGAAGTTTTGGTAGAGTAGGATGATTTTTAAAAAATGGGCCAATAAAAATATCAGTAAGCAAAATTAGGAAGTGACTGTGGTAGTTCAGTGTTGTGTGTCAACTTGGCTGGGCCTGGTTGAATGGCTGGGCAGCTGGATGTAGTATTCCCCATGATGAGACTGGTGATCAACTCCATGGTGGAATCTACTGTGAGCAGCTGAGTAGCTGCCTTAGGGAATGTGGTCTGCTTCCTGTATATAAGCAGAAGCCTTGGGGAATGGTCTCTAGCTTATGGCATGCTTGGACCCTGCATGTAGCCATGTCGTTGTTCAGCAGCCTGCCATGCTCTGCCGACCTTGGGACTTACAATGCAGTTGAATTAATGGCCTGCTGTGTGGTTTGGTAACATCAGGACTGTACCATTTTATCTGTCGACTTTGGGCTTGTTAGCCTCAGCAGCCAGGAGCTAAGGGAGTGAAGAGATGCCTCTAGCTTCAGTGGGCCGGGAGCAAGAGGCAGAGCTGAAGCCAAGGTCAAGGGGCTTTCATCCTGATCCTAGAGCTTGGCACTTTGAACTTGGACTTAAACCCTCCCAACTGTAAGAGAATAAACTCCTGTTTGTTAAGGCCATCCCATTTGTGGTATATTCTTGTCAGGGTGGCACTAGGTAACCAGAATATTGACTTAGTATATATGCCCGTATAATTAACTCAAGTGTTAAGGAAGAAGCCTTCATTTGCCCAGAGACCTAGAAACTGTATCTAGTGAGCTAGATTAAACTTTTGGGTATATTATTGCTCACTTACTGTTTAATAGGGCTTATTTATATTGGAAATCATAGAATTATCATTGTATAATATTAACGTTTACAAATCTTGTCGGAAGTCCAACCATCACTTATTAATCCTTTTATTGCTACTTCCAGGAACCTGTCACTCTTTTCAACACAATTATTTCTCAAAAAAGGAAATTTTACTTTGAGCATTAAGATGCATACATGTTTCTGCCATATTTGTTAAATGGCTCTTGAAGTATTTGATCCTTGTTTGATGGTAGAAGATACCTGTGTTGTTTTGAAGGGAGTTGTTATCTTCAGAAATCTTTCTGTAAATCTAAAATAGAATAGATTTTTTAAATCAAAGGATAGAAAAGGAAAACAAAAGATTTATTTTCACATTCTGATTTGCTTAATTCTTCCTTTTAAATTCGTATCACGTGTAAAGACTTGCTTTCACATTTGCTGAAGCCTACGTTACAGATTGAGCTAGTACAGAACAATGAGAATATAAAGGACTTAACACTGTGGTTGGAATGACAGCTTCAACAAGGCTTTCTAAGTTCAGAGTCAACACTATTCATTCCGTAAGCACATATCAGTTGTCATCCAGTTGATTCCAACTCATGGCAACTTCATGCACTGCAGAGTAGAATTGTGCTCAATAGGGTTTTCATGGTCATGATTCAGAAGCAGATTCCCAGGCCTTTCTTCTGGGTGAGTTCAAACTGACACACTTAATAAGCACGTATTTGAGTGCAAATGAGTGAAATACTATCTTAGGCACTACTCCTTCAACCGTGGCACATTTAATTAAAAAATGAAGTTAGAGAGGTTATTTGTATTTCTATAACATTGCCATAGTTTTCTGATATCCAGCAACCTCTTGAATAATACTTTGCCAATTTTTTTCCCCTTTTGGCTTATACATATGCTCGTCTCATATCCAAAGAACTCTTCCTTTGATCTTTGACACTGATATCCTCCTTGTGCCTCCTTCTAGTTACTGTGTTTGTTGTTGTTACGTGCCATTGAGTCAGACCTGACTCATAGTGACCCCTCCATGGGTTTCGGAGGCGGCATCACTACAGAAGTAGATTGCCCAACTTTCCTTCTGAGGAGTGGCTGGTGGGTTTGAATCACCAGCCTTCTGGTTAGCAGTCAAGTGCCTTAGGCGCTTTGCTACCAGAGCTCCCAGTTACTGTGTACAACAGGATTTTATTAGCCCACTACTGCATTTGATGATCTCTTTGAACCATCACCTATCTGTCAATTTGTAGTACTGTGGTGGCTTGAATTTTGCTGTGAGGCTGGAAGCTATGCTATTGGTATTTCAAATACCAGCAGGATCATCCATGGCGGACTGGTTTTAGTGGAGCTTCCAGACTAAGACAGACTGGACCAGATGGTGTTTCATTCGGTAGTACATAGGGTCGTATGTGTTGAAGCCTACTCAACAGCACCTAACAACAACAATCTCTTTGAAACCTTCCTTTCCCCTGGCTTCTGTGACACTTTCCCTTTCTTTTTTCATCATTCAACTTATAAATCATTGTCAAGTCTCTGCATGGTTCCAGCATTTGTACCTTTTGGAGATCTCCAGTGCTGCTGTCCCAGTGACAACAGCCCAGCTGGCATCTTGGGCATGGTTCTAGTCCCTACTTCTCCCCAGATCTGTTATTGCCAGATCGATTTTTTTTTTTCCTCAAACTTTTTATTGTGATTTGGGTGAAAGTTTACAGAGAAAATTGGTTTTCCATTGAACAGTTCATACATATTTTGTTTCATGACACTGATTGTTATCCCCACAATGTAGAAACACTCTTCTCACTTCTTCCCTATGGTTACCATTTACCTTTGTCCTTCTTTCCTGTCCATTCCTGCCTTCTAAGCTTTATTCCTGGGAAAATGATGTCCTTTTGATCTCTTCTGGTTGTTTGTTCTAAGGAGTGGTGCATCCCTTGTGTTATTGTTGACCTCATTGATCTGTCTATTGTTTCGCTGCAAGTTGAACCATGGAGTTCAGTTCCAGTCCTTTAGAGTGACTAAGGGCCACAGTCTCAGGTACTCCACCAGTCTCTATCAGATCAGTAAGCCTGGTCTTTTCTGTGATTTTTTTTTTTTT